TATGTGACGATTTGCTTTAATTATGACTTTCCTTGGATCATCATCATGATCGACCACATTAATCATCTTTATATGAAAACTCTTATCTCATATCTTATCTGAAATGTGATTGATACATAGACCTTATACTACATATACAGTATAAAGTCTATGGATTAATACCATATATCGAAAGAAAAAAACACTGACGGAAAGTCAGTCCTTCAAAATAATTATAACGCCAACTATGTAACAGTAACAGAAAATACTTTCCTGTCAATCGAAATGTTATATGAAATGTTACAATTACTAATACTACATACATAAAAGACAATAACATTTTTTACTATAACAATCATGTTATGGAATGTTTTTGAAATATGCTTTCATAGAAAATTATCGGTACTATTCCAATAAATACAGGTTTGTGCTCATCCAGATCACAAAAAATAAGAATTTCACTTTCGTTGATTCATTGTGAACTGCTCACAAAAAACAACGACCTCACGCAGAAAAAACTGTAAGCAGAGAATTTAAAGATTATTTCTTCGAAGGAATAAATCATTCTTGATATAATATAATTTGTATTTTACGAGTCTGTAGTATAGAAGTCTGAAAATTCTATTCTAGAATTAAAATTTAGAATAATTGATAAAACTAATTGTGGCTTCAATTCTATTGAGGATATAAATATTAGGTTGGCAACGGTTTTCAGCTTGGATGGTTTCTATACCGTTTGTTAAAAGATAGTAGACAGTTTAGATGTCCATCAGTAAAAAGATTTTGATCGAGAGCTTCAAACGGCAGACGAAGCCCTAAAAAACGGCAGTGTCAAAGTTTCGTTCAGGTGATTTTTCACTCGAAGATAAAAAAACTCTGCTCGTTCGTTGATTAAAAAATAATTGTCTACTTTGAACTGTTATTACTAATTGAATCCTAAATTCTGGTGTCTGCATTAAAAAATTAATGAAACTGAACAAGGTCGTTGAAAAGGTGGCTTTAATTAGCAAATAGAAACGGTTTATTCAATTATTGACATCACATATCTTTGGCCATTTGGCCATTTGGCTAAAGTTATTGGAGCTTGGTTAAGATGTTTCTTTGTATACACCACATGGTCCTGACCTTGCACCAATCTAGTCCAGTCATTTAAGCTTAAATTAGGTAAGAATTTCGGAATTCGAGAAAACCCAGCTCAAATAGCACCCTGAAAGTAGTCTCAAAAATTACATATGGTACGTACACCCTACAATATGTAGATTTTGAGACAACTTTCAGGGTGCTATTTTAGGGCATTTACAGACTTACAATTGGGTATCTCGAATTCCAAGGTGAACTTACCGTAATGACTGGACTAATTACTTGTTGTTTCAAATGAGTTGAACGATTAGCAAAATATAAGTATTTTTATTTTATATTCTAATATCCGAAATTATCTTTAATTTTTCATCATATATGATTGTAGTTCTATCATATCGCCCACCTTTTAGTGGTGAGAAGGCTTTCAACTGCAGTAATACAATTTTCATTAGCTTTTTGGCTGATTATAAGAAACACATAACACACGCAAACTAAGTACACTTATAATATATACATTTTTGGACATTCACATTAACATATATTACATTGCTAAAGATAGATTATCAACAAAATCTTTTCAATGAGATATTTAAAAATAGATCAATGAGAATTTGATGGGACGACTCACTATTGAAGAATTAAGAAGGAAAGTTAATAATTCATTAGGATGTTCATCGATTGAAACAACTGCGTAATTTTATTGTATCCTGTCAGCAGTTTAAGAAATTTTGCATATGCAACCTTGAAACATTTTTTCCAGCTCTTCCTCGACTTCATCGAGTGATTTAGTATTCATGAACTTGTTCCCGCATTAGAGAATCATTGTTTTCATCACATGATTATAATGTATATTGTTCAGCCTGACCATAAACTATCGACTGTCGAGGAACACGGTCCGGTAATAAACGAATAATTGCCCATAAATATTTCCTTGCATTTGCAAATGGTTCCGCGTGCGATTCGAGATGTTTATGAATATTTGCTCCTTGTTTATTCGTTATTTGCGCGTCGCATAACTACTTGAACATGGAATATACTGCATTCAGTATTTGTTAAAAATAGGTTTTATATCGAACACAGCACTTATTACATTCTTTTTTTCTAATTGCGCTGTTTGACATTTTGGAGGTTGATTTTTACTTTATAGCCGGACGTTGTGTAATCGTTATCAACGTTGACTACAACACATAAGATCCAGGTTTGACCCCTGGGCCAGCTTGATATCAAGCAGTGATGACATCGGTTTCCACTTGGAAATATAGATAGCAAAGAAATTGTAATAAGATAGGACAACTATTTTTGTTTGCCATCAATAAAACCGATATTAGTGAAGTAAAATCATTAAAATAGTTTATAGAACCTTAAGGGTCCGGTAGCTGTTAAAAAAAATTCTAACTTTATTTCAATAGTATATTGGTATTATTCTATCTTTTCATAAAATCGCCATTAATTTATAATAATCTTTTCATTTTAGTGACCGGTATTATTGTATTCGCCAAATAACTTTTTTTAGGGGGTACGACTTAAGCAACCCTACTGTGTACTTTGCACTCTTTACATTTCACGTTAAAATAAAAAGAGTGAAAATATTTAGTGGTTTTTTAATAGAATTTTCAAACAAAAAAATTTTGCAAAATATTCAGTAGATTTTTTAAGGAATTTTTCAAAAAAAGCTAGTTGGCGGATTCTATATTTTATTCAGCAAATCATTCCTAATCCAACAGTGTGTAAGAATATATCTAGATTTGTACATAGTTTTTTAGGTATGAAAATATTGAAATTTCCTTAAATATTATTATTGGTGTCAATAAATCGCTCTGGAAATATTTTTTACACTTACAACGCGTAACTAACTTAAATGAATAAGAACTAATAAATACACGATTGAAAGGAATAGTAGATGACTTAATAGCGCTTTTCAATCAAATGTTTTTATTTAAAGATATTAAATACGTCTCTATTAAATTTATTATCAATAATTTGCTTATAAATTATTTTTCACGCTTGGTTTTTCTTAAATGTCTATATTAAATATATACTAACCTGATAAAAGTATTGTTCTACTATATAAATGCAACATTTTTTTTACTTTTAAATTTTATTTAACAATTTTTACGTTTTATTTATTAATCATATATATTATACATTTATTAGGGCGGGACGATTTGCAGGGGGCGAAAAAAATCGCTTAAGCACATATGATTTTCGGATTCTAGGGATCAAAATAAGATACTTTACTTAAGAAACCCTTAATCTAAAATAAATTCTGATATCTCGTGGATTGATTCAAAGATTTGAATTTTGAAAAGTTCTGTCTTGACCAATTTAGAGTGCCGTAAACAATATATCAAATATTTATACAGTATATGTAACAAATTTATAATTATTATTATTTAAAATGATATATATAACCAGGGTTGAAACTCGCGAATATGAAATGGTGCTGATTGAGATAATAAAAAACCAAAAAAGTTTTTTGAAAAAAAAAATTGACAAATCTAAGGCACAGGCATCTAATATATGGTGTTCTTATATAAAGCATAAATTGATGTTGAAAGCTATATACGAATGCAAACGGAAAATTGTAATATAGAGAAATCTCTATTGGCTTTATATATATATATATATATATATATGATATTCAGTTTTATATATATTATATATATATATATATATATAATAGTGGTTGAGTGTGTATGTGTGGGTGTATTTTTTTCTCGCTTAAGCCGTCGATAATCTGCAATTTTTCGACCGAGTCCTATTATTTAATCTTTGCAATTTTTGCAGTTCTCATTCTCAATATATTTCAATACTACTTCAATATATTCAATTTTATGCTATGCTATGTTACGTATATATTACGTAATCATGTCCAGCAATTTTCTTTCTTTTCTTGACAGTCCTTCCAATGTTCAATTTCACTTGTTAGAATTTCAATTTTCCCGGGTTCGATACCCACTTCGAGCAGCCTGTTGTCAGGCAACATTGACAACGATTTTCACTTGGAAATATAGATAGCAATACGTTTCCAAGTGAAAATAGCCCTCACCCGGCATTGTTGCACCATACTTGCCCTATTACAGAGATTGTAATAAAAATTTATCATACAGAGATGTGACACCTGTTTGGGTTGCCATCTGTAATAAAACAAACGTAGTTTGTAAGATATTAATCACAACAGCTCATAGAACCCATAAGTTCTGATCGCTGTTCAAATAAACTTAAAAAAAAAAAAAGAATTTCAATAGAACTTTTTGTAATTATCTTTAAGGTAGTTGTTCAATGTTTATTTATATAATTGAAAGAAGTTGTATAAATAAAATAAATTTAATAAAATCTTTTAAAAGCAAAAAGAATTCATCAGTTCGGAAGAAAACATCATTCTCACATAAATATATTAATTTCCCATAAGATGCAAAAAATTACAAATTAAATTTTAACATACTTTATTAGACAAAAATCTAATAAAATCAGTATAATTTAAGATAAATTCAAGTAAATGGTTAATATCAGTTAGCAATCAATAATAATACAATCTAGATCTAAATGATATCTATATTATGTTGTGATTATGTACATACTTGATTATGTAACTGTAATTATTGGATGCACGTGCTTAATTTTTGATAGTACCTACTGAAATTGTATGATGCTGAGTACACACTTGAATGCTACAATTTTAAGATAAGATTAGATCAATTTTAACATAAAAATAAGCACATTGTAAAAAAAATATTGTGTTGCAAAATGCACTTAGCATATGGTTATACTTTTATATTATATTTTTGTTTAAAAACTGCATGTTGGATGATACTCTACTATTTTTAAAATAGGCACGTGAAAATTATTTTATTATTTCCATTATTTTCTGTATGCAAATTATTACTTATGTGTTTTTGTTTCTTATTTGTTTCCGTGTTGCATGCGTTGCTTGCCTCTAGGTCGAGACGTTCTAGTCAAGACATAAATGCATTTTCCAGGAGTGTGGATCATTTAGCACCGCTGCCTTTGAAAAGGTAAGTTCAAAACTTAACTTAAAAATTGATAAGTAAGTCACCCGATAAACTTCCCTAATGAACGATTTTTAATACAAAAAAAGTTTAAATTCTATTACAATGTAACTATATTATTTCTTATTATTAGACTTGCAACGAATTGTATATTCGGCAGTGTACCAAATACCTATATTTGGCGAATTCTCTGATCGAATAACTAAATATTAGGCAAAACTATTTAGCTGGATTTTAGCGATAAAACTTGTACAAATATTAAATTAATAGCATTATGCCACTTAATGATATACCAATCTTCTTTACTATTCATAAAATATAGTAATTGTAATAGTAATATATTGTAAAGTGGTTGAAAAAATTCAAAGTTTATTTTTATATGATTATATTTATATATACTTTGCGTTTCAAAGGTTTCTGAACATTTTGGCATACCTTAGAAAAAATGGATGTGTGTATGTGTGTGCGTGTGTGCCGTTACAAATTTTCGTCGACGAGTGCGCAAACACGGATTAACCGATTTGAATAATTCAAATAACATTCGATTCCTACTGATGATTAGTGCTGATTAGTTTTTGACAAAGGCAGGTCTAGCCGTTTCGGAGATACAGTGCAAAATGTGCCAAAAATGGTATTTGAGTTTTTGAGATAACACACCACTAGTTTTTAAAGTATTAATGTGCATTTTATTGAACGAGAATTCAATATCAAACATGAATTATTAAATATCGAGCATAATGCGGGATAACACTGCAAATAATACAACTTTTTTCTATAATACCCGGGATAGTTTACAAAGAAACTATTTTCCAGAAATGTAGAGAAATTAGACACACTGCATACCATAACCTTTTTCTTTCAAATCGATTATGATATCAATTTAAATGCATAAAAACTTGCTAACTTTTCTTATTATTTTTCAGTGGTAAGAGAAATAAAACAGATGTATTATTTATAGACGCAATGAGCATTTTCTTTTATTTAGAGTATTCGTCATTCGCCCGAATAATATGTATATATTCGGTATTCGGCCGAATAGTAACCAAATATTCGCTGCAAGTCTAATTTTTTGTGTATTTTCTTTCTATAGTCAAATGTTTTAATTTTATTTATCCGAATTCCGAAAACTAATTGTAGGTCATATTAAATTAATATTTAAAAAAAAAATGGATTTTTAATTGTTTTCTATGCAACTGTTTAGGTATGTTTTCTATGATCTATTTCTGATCATCAAATTGCACGAAAGATTTTGTTTGATTTTGCATGTTTTTGTGATCTTATGAATACGTTGCACGCGCGCTTGCTTGGCATTTGAATTGGCAGTTTAGATGAACATAGAACAGAAAATATTTATAATTATTAATTCTTACTATTTATATATTAATTCATTCAGAGTAATCTTATTTATATATTTATATTTATATTTATATTTTCTTTCCAGGAGCAAAAGTCGTAGTGTTGACCACGGTCTTACAGCGCCGTACGATTTGGACACACTTCGTTCGAAAGTAGAAGGAAGGATCGAAAGTGTCGATCGACTTGCCAAAGGTAATTTTTTATGTTTGTTTTCATATGTATAGAGAAAATTTAACAGATATTACAAACGTTTTCGGGAATTTAGTAAAAAGCCTTTAATTGTAAGTTGAAGTAATTGATTTAACCCTTTCCACTCGGATGTCGCCGATCGGGCGGCAAAATTCATATAAATCTCGGAATTCGCGAGTGGAAAGGGTTAACTTTACAAAGCTAGTAAGAATTTTGTGATCTTACAATGTAGATCGCAATCGCCTAATGCAAGATGTCACTCTGTATTTAAATATATGTTAATATGAATTAAGAAATTACCTTTCAAATAAATAATTAAAGTAATTTTTTAGCAGAGGAGGAAAGAAAACGTGCTTTGGCTCAAATTCCTACAGTGCCATATACAGTCGGAGATAGAGATACATTGACTTCTGTTGCTGCTAGATTTGATACAACTCCATCGGAATTAACGGCGATAAATAGACTTGGAAGTAATTTTATATTTCCAGGGCAAGTGCTGCAAGTTCCTAGCAAAAAATCAGAAGGTATATGAATTAATCAATTTCTAAAATTCTAAATGCTATAATATTTCAATAATTTAAAATGGTTTTTGATGTAACCAAGTTTTTTTTAAACCATGAAAAGTAAATCCCTTTTCGCCTTTAACTCTACTATTTATATAGTAGTAACGAAATTAGTTAAAAATAGTTCAGAATGCAATATACATAGGCAGTGGCGTCGAAACCGAGTGGGCTGTGTGGGCTTGAGCCCATCCATGTTTTATGATGGTGGGGCTGAGCCCACCCATCATTCTCAAAAAATGATATTGTCTAGAATATCTAAAAAAAGAGCTCACACTGACTGCCCACTCATCAAAAATTTGCTTCCGACGCCACTGTATATAGGGGAAGTACGGATAAAATGACATGGTGTTTTGTTTTTCAAGGATATTTATTTATTTAATGTTAATAATCAGGCACATTTGTTTATACTCTTCTAATTAACTACCAGTCAATAAACCTTAGGCATTAAACATGGTCTTTTTATTACTAAAGAACTATAATAACATATTTATTAAGGAAAAACGCAACCTATTACAGAGATATAAGATAAAGTCAATTTTAGATAAATCGTTTAGTTCTATTTGAGACATCAGAACATGACTTATTAGTCCAAAAGGAAACAAAACATACATCATAAGTATCATAACCAAATGAAAGTCTGTTCCTGTTACCGGTGCATTTCTTAGCCTATTTTTTCTTGTCGTCGAATAAACTACCCCATAGTACTTGCGAAATAATACTATGTCATTTTGTCCCGTAAATGAACTAAAATGAGTAATGAAAAACCTGATAATTGCAATAAAATTGATCGAAAGCACTAGTACTGACATTAGTTTATGTTTTTAATTTAAAAAATAGAAATAACAATAAATAAGTCCCAAAAAAACATGTCAAAAGCACCCTCCAAATAAAGTTTCCAAGGTGCGAAACATGTTTGGACTAATTACTGCTGCAATACTGTGACAATGACGCTCAACATCTGACTGGTTTGTTATTATGGCTTGCTTTTGTTATACAGTCGCGGAAGAGTTGTTAAAACTAGCCAATTTTTAAATAAGGCCACTGTATAATTTTGTCCATATATTATATCATCCAAAAGTTACATTAAAGTTACCTTATATTTATCTCTTATAATTCCAATTGTTATTCTAAATTGGATTTTATTTTTTAATATGATGATTTCTACTAATATAATTCTGAATATGCAGATGGAGAAAACGAAGACGGCGCCTCGTGCGCATCGACAACGGATACATCTCACGATAACCACGATGATTTACCACAAGAAGAAAAAGGTAAATCATAATCTTTTACATAAATGTCAGGTATTTTAATTATTAAATTAATTAATATGCAATGAAATTACACGAGGAATTGAATGTATTCAAATATTCAATTGCCTCTGACGTACCGACAGAGGCACGTGAGAGACGCCAACTCATATTACGATCGACACACATGTTTAAATGTTAGAGAGCACAAAATGTAATTTAAATTTCGATTTTGAAAATAGTTCTAACTTAAGGTAAAAAGTGAAATATTTTATTTTAAGCAAGAATTTATTATAATTTTATCGCAATTACGTCGAATGATAAACGGTTTTTACAAAATATCATACAAAAGGGTTTAATTAGTCAATAAGTTTTTCATACGTTTCGAATTCCAGTTTGACTCTTCTTTAGTATATAAATTACACAAAAACCGCAACGAACAAAAATCTAGATTCAATTTATGAAAAAAAATTATAATTAATTAGTTTGAAAAATAATATCTTTTACCTATATAAAACATAAATATATATTTATTAACTTCCCGAAGGAGAAGTTTGTTTATGCTAAAAAATCCGATTTGCTAATGTTGTTTTCTGAGCGTTTCAACAATCTAAATCGAATGAGACTAAATTTGGAGAAGTCGATATTTTCTTAAAAACAGCTGGACCGATTTTAAACATTGAAATGTTTGAGTGCAACTTCTCGATAAGGACCAGCGTTGATCAGTTGATCACGATGATCGGCTGAGCCGTTTCTTTAGAATTATCAGAAAAGTGTAAAATATTTTGTCCACGTTGTATTTTTAATCGGTAGTAAAAAATCAAAACTGTTCAAAAGGTATTGATTAATCGATTATAAAAAAATTCCAAAACTGTTCAATAGGTATTGATTGGAGAATCGAGTTGGTTAGTTTTTGGTAGAGATTGGCCAAGTTGTTTCATTGGATATAAATATTGAAAAAGCTCTATAAAAAATAAACGACTTAATCAATAAAAAATAAATTAATTAGTATTGTAGTCTGAAATAACATACCAAAATATTATAGGCCTACGATAAGTGGTTGAATTATAAAAATTCACCAAAGTTTTGAATTTTATTGAGCGATTCTAATCAGAATCTATGCACGATTTGTGGTGTTTCACTGGTAGCTACTGATTACAGTTGACGTTCGCACTTAAATAAAATACAGTTTTAGAATACGAAATGCATTAAATGAAATGAGTTAAAAAGTTAATAATTGATATAATTACTGATATTATGAATATTTTTAAAAGACATCAATTAATTGGAAATCGTATTGATTATTTTTTAGTGATAGCTTAATGTTAGTTTCGAAATGATCAATTATTATTGATTATTACGGCAAAATGCTACTTACAATTAGTTAATATAATTTGAATTTTGATAGATAAATATAATTCAACAACATTTTGTGCTATCTGGGTATGCTCAATATCAATATTAAATTCAATTAGATATTTGGGAATTGGGAAACCCCCATTTGGAAGAAATTGGGATATTTCTCTGAACATGGCAACAACTGCGAAGATTATTAGATAGCGAATTTTTGAGTTACTAATCCGTTACTCAAAGATATTAATATGATCTCTATGTATTTATTCAATCTCTTAAAAATTATATTTCTGAATAATTTTTGTTCAAACATTTTGCTGTACTAAGTGTGGTATGTTCAATATCAATATTTAATTCAATTAGATATTTGGGAATTGGGAAACCCCCATTTGGGAGAAATTGGGGTATTTCTCTGAACTTGGCAATAACTGCGAACATTATTAGATAGCGAATTTTTGAGTTACTAATCCGTTATTCAAAGATATTAATGTGATCTCTATGTATTTATTCAATCTCTTAAAACGTACATTTCTGAATAATTTTTGTTTAAACATTTTGCTGTACTAAGCATACTCTTGCCTCTAAACTAAGCACATACTCTATAATATAAAATAAATACTATTTTATAAAAAAATGATCAAATTAATTAAGTCTGCATTTGGTTAGTATTCCATGTGCTTTTAAGCCACTCGTTCTTAATTATATATAGCAACTAATTACATTACAAAATAAGAGTAAATTTGTTTTTACTAGCATCGAAATATATGAGAAAAAACTATCTCATGTCGATATTACATCATGCCTTATTGACACGCCTAACAATAGAGATTATTGTATTGCGATTTCAATGCCATACAGATTTACTTGACTTTTTTTTTTCAAAAATGTTGTTACTGTGTTATTATTTGTAGAGTCTTTGCAGTTATATATTGTTAATTATTAAAATTAATAGTGAAATAATTAGTTGCAATTTATTACCAAGTTTTGTGTAACATATAATAAGAATGTGTAGTTTGAGGTTAAGTGAAATGTCATCTAAAAATATTGAAGTGTTTATTTGCGTTCTAAAGGTTCTGATTATTTTCGAAAATATTTGAATTTTAATTTCATTCCATGTTTATTTGATTTAAACATGAATTTTATTTGGAATTATTTTGGTTAGTGCGTTGTTTATTTGATGTTTTATTTATCACTTATATTGATATCATTTTTATTTCGGCGTCATTCTTTTTTATTTCCGGCTTGTACAATTTCGAATTTGTTAACATTTTGAAATTGGCAATTTTAAAAAATTAACACATTTGCACAAATCAAATTACTCAATGTGTTAGTATATTTAATTAGTATAAATTGAGCAAATTTTGTGAAAACAGCGCAAATTGTATTAAATTGCTGTACAAAAATATTACAAGCATTAATTAACTAAATAATCAATAAATTTATTATACACTTGTCAAAGTGGTACTGCTTAAAATGGTGTAATAATGCATTTTCAGTCTAAATGTCAATAAAAGCATGTTCATAGTTATTTATAGTCTACATATTTTTTTAAATATATAATTTTTTTGCTTAATATTTCCATTATTATTACTATTTATTTGTTTTATTGGAATCTGATATTGCGATTTGCTGAATTATTATTTATTTATATAAATACAATATTTCAAACATGATATTGTGCAACGAAAATATTGCAATCTTGTCATTGATTATTATAATTCTGAATTTGCTCTTATTCTTACAATGATATATTATATGCTATTAATTTATTTGTTATTTACAGAACTTTTGGATGGTTTACGGC